ATGACACACGAGGGACGCGAATACAGCGCGGTCGCCAAAGCGTCCATAAACGGGCAGTGTGGCAATGCAGCTGGGAGGCTACGTCTCGTCGTCTCACGAGGCAGTGATTTCGGCTGCAAGCACACAGGGGTTCACCCCTCGCTGGCCGTATTGCCTGGCCGACTGCTAGGCAGCATCAATTTCCCCGCTTGTCCTGTGGGCTAACAGCAACACAACCACACACAGTGACTGTGCAACAAGCAAGTTAAGTTCGTCTGGTCAAAGAGTTCCTTTTCTGGGTTTTTTTGGGGGTTTTTTCCCTCCTCACGCAACATCTGGCTTGTTGTTTTTCAGTATATTATGCAGAACACAGGTCCCAGAAAGGAAGAGAAGGGATATGAATAAGGTGCTGTCACCCAGCACCGTTTTGACACCAAAGGTTACATCCTTGCTGATAAGCAGCATTTAAGTCAGGAGCGGGCAGAGTCTTCCCCAGCACTGCAGCTGCAGAAAGCACTTTCTCACTAGAGCTGGCTGAAAAAAAAAAAAGTTTCTGGTTCATGGAAGAAGTTGTTTTCCCTGACCAGAAGCTACCTTGACCTTGCAGCTGCTCAGTGAGACTGATAACTTTGTCAGCAGGGAAAGGAAAAAATGTCCCTATTCGAAGAGCAGCTGCAGGGGAACCTCTCCCTGAGCCCACCCCAGCCGCAGGCTCCCAGTGTGGTGGGAGCGCTCTGATGACATCCATGGAGGGGGCATCCTGCGGCGTGCCTACCCCCAGCACAGACCTCTGCAAGGAGCTGGGGTAGCAATTCTTTCTTGTCTGCTTGGCTGCTGTTTTTCCCAAGGCTCTGCTGATTTATTCTTTTGTCCAAAACAAAAAATAAAGGGGAAAAAAAAAAAAAGAAAAAAGAAAAATTAGCCTAGTCACTCTGCGGGTTCTGTGAAACTTCTGACCAACTGCAGTCCTCAGGACTAAGCACCATGGACTAGAGCAAATGAGGCAAGTGTTCCTGTGGGTCTTCCTATCCCCCTGCCAGCTCAGGCGAGCAACTATCCCAGCGAGCTAGGGACTGCTTTCAGCCACTGTCTCCCCTGATGACCTCCTGGGACCCCTAGCTGCACCGTGCACACACGCTGCCTTTCAGCACTGGCAGCCCACGGCAGTGGAGGGAGATAACGAAGAATTGCATGCTGCTGCCAACAGGGAAAATTTGCAGGCTTGCACTTTATTGCTGGTTTAGGGAAGGCAGCCTACTCAGAGGTGCCGTGCCACGCAGGTGAACTGAATTCACCGGTCCCCAGACGAGGCTGCTTTCTGTAAGTGGGTCTCACCACTAATGGAAATAGCAGCAGATGCAGCAATCTGCTGCCATTCTGCCTGAGCGCTCACAATCCCATCTCCAGCAGCCTCAGCCTGTGGGAAGGAGCTCCCTGAGTTGCCTGTCTAAAATGCACCCATCTGCTCGAAATCGGACTTCCAGAATTTGCAACAAAGCCAAATCTGAAACATTTTGAAATAATCCCAGGCTTTCGTGTTTAAAAGCAAAACTGTGAAAGAAAGAGAGCATCCAACCTCCCTACTCGAGCTGGGCTCCCAGAGGTTGCTTTAAGAGCTGTCTTTCAGTGCTGGATTCAGCCCAAGAATTTCTTTAGGCAGCACAGGGTCTTTTCAGAAGGTATTTCTTGCTGCAGAATAGTATAATGAGCCCGTAATCAGTGCACATGACAAGGCCATTTATCATTTGCGAGCCAAATGTGAAAAGAATTGTGCTTTTGTTTTGCCTTTTCTCCTACCTCCTTGGGTGATCCCTTTTCCACCACTTTCACATGTGATCTCCAGGATTTCTTCCCCAGAGGGGATGTGTGTGTGAGGTTAAGTGCTCATGACAGCACTACATCTGCACCTCACATAAAATGTTCTCAGCTTCCTTCCCATTACTGTCTAGAGACTGCATCACAGAGATGCGTTTTCAAGGAGACAAATCTTTTAACTTATTTTTAAATCCCATCTAAAGTCTGTGACTTCCCCTTGGAAAATGCATCCACACAGGGCAAGCTCTGTGAACGCTTTGTCCCATGACTTGTCTTACTCTGCTCCAGTGTTTGTGCAGCAGCCCACACATGAATAAGGAAGCTGGCAGAAACCCTTTACAATTTGTAAGCATCTCACATCTACCTTAAGAAAATAATTATGTAAATTCTCTGCTCCCCTGTAGAGGTTTTGGAAGAAAACCAAAGAGATGCAACACAAAATAATGCTCAAGGCTGCCATTTTGCACCATAACTCCTCTTCTCCCTGCAGTTGCCTGCCCCACTGCCCTGTGGGTCTGATAACTCTGCTTTGCTCCCACTGCTTCAAATAGGCACCGGCCACCATTTAGATAGCTCGGCAAATGGGCTACCCGTGAACAACTTCTGGATGAATGCACCGGGGTGGTACATAGTAGCATGGGGCCTGCAGGTCAGCTGCAGCTGATCAGCAGTTGAACAAAGTACCCAAAAAGTGCAGCCAGGTATCCAGAATGAAGATACTGAATAAGCAGGACAGCATCATGCTGGTACCATCCCATTGTGATCACACATAGAAATCACTTACAAGAATGCTAGGCAAAAAGCATTAACCTGGAAATGGGGTTTTTTAAACTGAGGGTATCCCTGTAATCAAGCATAAGTCAAAATCCTTTCCCTTTCTTCTCCTGATATGTGGCATTTTGGACTTGGTTCATATACCTCCCTGCTTTTCCCCTTTCCCAGTTCCAACAGCAATCTTTGTTCTTACTGGCATAAAGAAAACAAAATTCAGATCTCTATTTATCTACAGAGTTGTGCCCTTCCAAGGCAGTTTTTTACCGCATACATGCTACCCTCCAGATAAGTGTGATTTAGACGATTATTTTCTAAGAAAGTGACTGAATACTGATTGTACAATTGCACATTTGCTTGAGTTCCCTGAACCACAGCTTGGCCACGCAAACAATGCATTCAGTAAACAAATGATCTGTGAAATGATTGTATATGAATGACATGTACTTAATAAACGGTGCTCTATTATGTCCTTGAGCACGCTGATAGTTCAACGAGAGGGGAAGAAAAGGGAGAACATTCTCATACTTGCACTGTGTTAGGTTCTCATGGCGATGTGGCATGAAGTGCATTGCTGCATAAACAGGCAATCGAACTTTTTGCCTTGTGGCTCTCGTAACTACGTATAAAAGGGAATATAGGATTTTTTGTGCCACATACAGAAACAACCTTTGATTACAAAATTGATTGGTAAAAAGAAGTGACAGTTCTTCAATATCTAAAAAAAAAATAAATTGAAATCAATCATTAGAGCAAAAGTTTTCAACATTTCTCTTTCTCTCCTGCATTTGCACTTTGGTTTCTCTGTATCTAGCAACGCCTCTCAGAGCTCCTTAATGTTCTGCGTGAACTTTCAAATTAAAACCTTTTATCTTAATGGGAATTCTAATCCTACCGGGACGTTTGTGCCTAGCTGCGCTTATCATCCCATCACGGGAGGGGTTTTTTTTGCTCAGGATTTCCTTTGATTTGTGTTCTACGGCAGAGAAGTGAAGGCACCAGAACAGCTGACTGCTGCTAACAATCGTGGAAAAGCTGAGAAGTTATAGCCATTCTGTGAATTAAAATACCGTAGCTATTATCTAAAATTGGCAGCAGAGAATTCCTATGGGTTTTCTAGCTATATTGCTTTGGCAGCACCTGCATATGTGAGAACCCAGGCAGACTGTAAGGGCTTGCTGGCTCACTGGATAACCCCACTGTTCAAGCCTTTTGAAATTTTGCACAATTGTGAAACGAGATCCTTCGACTTTCGCCATGGTAACACCCCTGTTGTTTTCCTTTGTTGACAGTGGAAGGCCTGAAAGTAGTGGAGATTGAGAAATGCAAGAGTGACATTAAAAAGATGAGGGAGGAAATGGCAGCAAGAAGCAGCAGGTAAGTTCTCCTTTGGACCTAACCAAAGAAATAAGCATCTGTTTTCAAACCCTAATGCAATGTTTCTGCAGAATTGAGTTACCTTCTGGGCTTAGAAGTAAAGGAGCAAGGAAACTAATAACCATTAAGGATAGTGGTTTTAATTTAGCACTTGAAGGTCTACAACTATTCATCAGTTAAAACAGCTCGGGCCACGCAAATAGAGAAAAAGGTCTTGCCACAGAGAGATATTTTTCACCATACAGAATGGGAATACTTCATCCAGATTTACTGGGAGGGAGGGAATGGGAAAAGAATTTCTGCATAGTGTGGTGTTTGGTTGGGAACCAGCTAACCCTCAAATCAGCTCCAATATATTCTGGGAAAATATCAAATAAATATGTAGCAGCTCTCCTAATTATGATCTCATGCTATTATAAAACACCCATTTCAAATTCAACAAGAAACCGGGAATTTATTTCCTAATTCAAGGGCTCACTGTGATTGCAAAGCTTGGTTTCGCTGTAATTAAAACAACAGCAGAAAAAATCGCATTTTGTACAGTACGTGGTCTCGGCTGGAAAGTCTGCCCCCTGTGTCACTGAAATATGCCATCAGGACAAACAAATCATCACTGTGAGATTATGAATACCTCTGGGAAGGTTGCTGAAGAGGATATACCGCGTTGCTCAAAGTGTGGGTGAAGGGGATTTTTCTCAGCAAATGTAACTACACTATCTTGGCAGCCTCTCTCATTTTCTTCATTTAGGGTCAAATTCTCTGACCTTTAATCAAGGCTATTTCCTATTGAGGGCAGTGGGAGATTTGCTAAAAGAATTAGGCTTTGTAATCACTGGTTGTTACAAATTTTCTATCCAGATCTGTCAGGAGGCACAGTGTTAATATATTCCTATTAAGTCTAAGGCCAAATTTGGCTGTCATACTAGCATAAATGCAGAGCAACATTGTTAACCTCCGATCTGCTCCAGATTTATACCAGTAGGATGGATTGCAGCTTGCCCTGTGACTTGCATCATTTCTTGTTCAGGTGTGTGAGGAAATCTCAATAGAAAAATCAGAGCTCAGATTGCCAGCAAACACAAAAAATGTACACTAATTTGTGCTGGGTGTGATGCAAATAATGTGTGTGCCCGTGCATGTGTCTTTACTTTTCCTCAACTCTTGTGGGGAGCTGGGAGAGCTGCATTTATGAACACAGTGACACTCAGGCAGGTAGGGAATTAAAAACAAACAAAAAAGAAGTCATGGCAACTTCATATGCGCCCAGTTGCTGCCACACAAGTACGAGACTGTCCTGGCAGCAGCCATGACTCATTTCCGTCCCAGACCTTGTCACCTATACAATCTATATTTTGTAGTGTAAACACCAATCTGTTAACAAGAAAAACAGGAATGGGGAGTGCAGTGTCTGCCCAGCGTAGTCTTTGCTGAGGGCTTGTAGTGAGACATGACAGCCACCAAAAGCCAGAGATTAGCACGGAGCATGATGCGGGACAGCTGTGGTAAAAATGGATGTGGTGCTCGGCAGCAGGCAGGGCTGGGCACAGACACTCACGCTGGCTTTCTCTGCACTCACACTGCATAGCTGCTTTTCCTGAAGCAGGAGCGTAAGTTGCTCTGCTTGGCATCACTTTGTGCCATAACGATGTGGCAGCTACCTGTCACAGCTCTTCTTTGTTGCCTTGAGCTGGGTCTTCCTCCTCCCAGCTCCACAAAAGCTCCTCCTCCTCGCACAAGATTCTGCCCATGATTATCTGTACCCTAAGGGCTTGGGTCTCAAAGCAGCAGCTAAATGTGGATAGGTTCAGTTTATAACCAGGGGCGGATACAAGTCACCTCTTTTTTGCTACAAGACCAAGGAGAGGATGCTCCTTGGTGGCTGGCCATTGTCCAAGAGGGACCCCGTTGGGAGCTGCTGAGGAATGAGCTGTGGTTCCCTATTCCTGAGTGACCACAGCTCTGCAGGAGACATGCCACTAACGTGCAGTGACCCCAGCCTAGGGCTGCTTCACTCCAGAGCAGCTGAGCAAGCTCTCTCCCATTGACATGAGATACGCGCATGCTGTGAGGGAAACGGAGGCATCCCAGGGTGAGTGGAAATGGCTTTGCTCCTGTTTAGACTTGTCATCCCTTGTGCAATGTCATTTGCTAGACAATGCGTTACAGTTGCAATTAGGGATCACATCTAAATGTAATCAATGTACATAAGCATGTGTGAACGTGTATATTCCTTCAATAATATCACAGTGTACAAAGCTGTATCCTTGTACGTTTACGTATTCCTACATTTGCTGTTGCATCACCAAATGACAGAGTAAGGATGAACAGCTAGGTTTATGAAAGTCATTACGCACAGTGAACTGTGCATCTCTCCTCTTCAGAAAAGCAAAGCAGCCCCACTTGCATCCACTCAAATTGCTTTTTTTTTGCTAGTCTGCTTTTTGCACTCACCACTGGCAGATGCTAATAACATTATAGTGTCATTTAAAATCATGATCATTTGCAGATAGAGTTTTACATTTGTAAAGGTCTGATGCATCCTGGCTCTGGTGTGTTCCCTAGTGTGGCAGGGTGAAGGCTTCAGTGTCTTACTGCAGCTGGGAATTAGAGATAGTTGGCTGACCCTAAGCTAACCCTGGTAGCCAGCTCCAATTAGGGCAAGGAAAGCCCCAATCTCACTATTTTTATCCTACTAATACCCCTCACAGTGGAGTTTTGAGGAAACAGCTTTAGAAACGATTAAGACAGCTTTTCACCAACTGAGAATCTCCTTAAACAGGGCAGTAAAAGGCAGCTGGTTGAAGCCAGCTGACCACCATGTACTGTGAGATGACATAACTTTTGCAGGATTCAGACACCACCGTCAGAAATGATAACAATGTTAAGAGGAGAAAAGAGACCTGGACCAATTCCCATCAGAGAAGAAAAGCACTAAAAAGAGATGAAGTACAGAATATGTGAAATAATTAAAAAAAGGGACAAATAAAGTTAATGGAATAGTTCGGTTGGCTTCTTTTCGGGAGTTTCTTTTAGCTTCATTTGGCAGGAGACTTGCAAAATGAGAAAGGACGATCCAAATGTTAGGACTACAGGGATAAAGACAAAATGCAAGCAGATCAACCTCACATGAGAGTTATTAAAGTCCATGTGACCAGCTACCTGGGAAACACATGCTGAGTTGAAGTATCATGATTGCCATGGGTGATACCACAAAGCTCTTAGTATTGTTGTGCCCCCACAGCTGTAAGGCATGAAACTGCTCTCGCACTGCAGTGCAGCAACCTAGATGTTCTGCAAAGGCTGAAAGGCTGATGTGCACCTCCCATCGTCATGGTCCTCTGCTCAGATGGGAGAGCGTCAGCTTGGCTCTTCCACATGCAGAGGAAGGAAAAGTAAATAACTGGCAGTGGGTGCTGGTGTTAATAACCAGTCACGTGTTAATTACCTGTAATTGCTGGCAGTGGCTCCTTTCCTCTAGGACTGGGGAGCCAAGCAGACTGTGTCTGCTGAGCCTGTGCTGTTGTCTGCCTGAAGGGCAGCAGACAAGATGGTCATGCCATTGAAACGGATGGTCTTACCCAAGGTTTTACAAGGCCTGAAGCTGGGCTGCAATAAGCCACGGGCTCAGTGGGTGCCTACACTAGTAAATAAGCACAGGCGTGCCGATGTCCACACTCAGCGTGGCCCCTGGCAGGGCTTTGCCGTCTTTGGACAGTTATGCCTGCCACGGACAGCAAGCTGCTCGCTGAAAGGGAAGTTACTTGGTTTAAATAGAAGTGATTGGGTATCCATGGATACATGCCTGGAGACAGATGCTCCTCACTTGAATTCATATAGGGAAAAGGGGCGATGGGAGTGTTGCACAAGCGGAGAAAATCCTAAAGAGGATTTTCACTTTTAAAGCATTTGAGCAACACAACATTAGAAAAGGAGAGATTGGGGAGTGGGGTAATTCTCCGAGCGATGTCTGCTGAGACACCAGAGTACTTCCGGCATTTTTCAAGGTACCGTTGTTCTGTTCCCACAATGTTAAGAGCTGAATATTTCATTTTAGGACTAACTGTCCCTGCAAATACAGCTTTTTGGATGAAAACAAGAGGCCAGCTCCCCGGCGGGATGTACCAGCCTACCCAAAGGTACACGCAATGCTTGCTCTTCCCAGGATCCTACCGTGCGCTTCCCATCCTGACAAATGCTGGTTTACAATGCATGACTCCCTAGCCACCTACCTCTTAGTTATTCTAAACCCAGGGCCTGATCCAAAATCCCTGGAAGCCAATGGAAAAAGCTGTTGTTGCCTGCGGTGACTTAAAGTTGGATCCTCAGCAGTCTTTAATACTTGAAAGCTCATTAGCGTTTGAAATGTTAATGAACATTGTGCATTCATCAACATTTAACACTCTTTTGTCTAGTTATATTTGTTTATTCTCCATGCTCGTAGCAAACAATCAAAAATAGCCTAGAATGTTGTACGCTAATTGAAAATGGTGCTGCTGCTTCTTTGCTCCTAATGGACTATTTTTTAATTCAAAAACTAATTTATGGGGATGCTTCACCTAGGGAAACAAAGACAAAATGCAACACTGGATTCTCTCCAGAATGATTAATTCTCCCTGTGAAAATGAGTTACTGTATTTGCTACAGAAAACAGTAATGCTTGAAGAAAAATGTCTACTGGGCAAGTACAAGTACGAATCCACAGTGATGAATGAGGCTGAAACCATGAAGCTCACAGGATCTTTGGTCCTAGCACCAGCAGTCTTTGCCCACAGGAATTATTCAAAGCTGCCAGGTTGTGTCTGCACAATGCCTGGCTCACACCTTGACAAAACACCAGCCCACACATATGCTAATCATGGTTAACATGGGCATTTGTCTCCACACATCAAAGCTGGCTGAGCCACTCTCAAGTTCATGTGGTCCCATGTGGTGCAGGTGTGTGATACAGACATGCATCCTTGCGTATTTGTCTTCAGGGTCTTGCAGAGCAACAGGTTCTAAGTCCTGCTCTTTAGGCTGCTCTGCCTGGCAAAAGTGACTCCTAGATCTCTGAAGCAGACATCATGAGGCCCACACCTCTTTTAATTACCTTTTGCCCAAGAAGCTTGCGCTCCTGACACTTTTGCATGTTTTCGCAAAATGGATCTGTTCTAAAAATTATTTTTTCCCTTGATAAGCATATGTCAGATTAACCTTTGATCTACTGCTGTGACATCAAGATCTTGAATTAACAAGTGCAACGAAGAGTTGTATTGATTGACTGCAGAGTAAACTGTTGGTCTGTATTGTCCCAAAACCAAAGCTCATAGGAGTTTTGGTTTCAGAAGCTTGGGTTCTGTTTGACAGATTTGCAAAATTTGTTATCAGTCGATAAGTGCTGGATTTGTCCAACGTCAGTGAGTCCACTAAAAGAAGATGTTATTGCAACACTGTTATCAAATAACAAATCTCTACTGCTAAATCACGGATTTCTTGCAGAATGTCATATCAAATGTACATTATATAGGCAAATGCAAAAATCATTGCCTTCTCAAGAAGGAAAATGAATCTTCAGTGTTATTCTTCCTTGGATTAAATATCAACAATTGGATGGCTCAGAAAATTTCATTCACCTGCTCAGTACAGTAAGCCCAAACTAATTAGAGACAGCCATGGTAAATGAGCCAATTAAATCTACAAGGTTTTTGTGTCCCAGAAACACTCTGATCAATACAGTCTAGGAAATATGATTTGGTAGAATCCAGATCTCCCCATGTCTTTTAACCCTACACATTCCTGTTTTTTTTTTGTTTTGTATGCAAATCATAACTGGCCGACGAGCTTGATTTTGTTTTAAGCCTCCGAGCATAATGATAAAAGATCACTTGAATCTTGCAGGCTGACAGCCAATTTGAAAATGTGGGCATTCTTGAAAAATACTCAAAATGAGAGCATAAATCATCTGAAAGTAAATATACCACACCCGCTAGCTAATTTAACACTATAAGCATAGACACTGCAGGCAGCAGAACCGGTGCAGCTGGGGATGGATCTGTGCCCTGCTCCCCTCACACCCCCTTGCTGGATCTGCCCTCAACCCCATCCATAACACCTCCACTCTCCTCCCTTTTCTCCCAAACCCTCCACCTCCCTGCTCTGTAAGGGTCTCCACCGATCAGCAGCCTGCTAGCTGGTGCCGTGGCAGGCAGTGAGCTGCCTGGGAGCTTGCTGCTCACCGGGTGTCGGCATCCTGGTGTGACCACGAGCAGCCAGTGGGGAGGGAGAGGAGGGTGGGGCAGGCAGAGGGAGAGGTCACTTGCTCTAGCCTTGGGAAATACAGTAAAACCCTGTGTAAATGGGACCCCAGGAGTCCCAGGGACATGCCAACAGCAGGTCCCACACCAGGGCAGGGGACCTTCACTTACGCTGATTGCCTTTTTGTCTGCAGTATATGCTGTCCCAGGAGACCATAGAAGCTCTTCGGAAACCAACGTTTGACGTCTGGCTGTGGGAGCCCAACGAGGTAAGGATACCACGTCAGCTGGGCTAGCATTCGTACTGCGAGCCAACAAGGCCAGAAAAGCCCCTTGAGGTGGTCTGCAGGGGTTTTCCCCTTCTCTGCCCCTCCATCTCTGTATTTTTTTTATTTTCATATCACACCAGAATACAGTACTTTTCCCCTACAGATGCCAGGTAGATTATGCTGATTACCATAACCTCATCCTTCTCTATTTTTTCTTTAATCTCTTCCTAGTGATGTCCCACAACAACCAGTGCGCTATCATTACCGCCGCATGAGTTCTTCCATGGCATTTTATTTGAACAGATTGATCCCTAGCAAAGTGTACGCTTAAGCACCTCATCAATAACTCTGCTCAAATCAATGAATCTGCGTGCTGCTCTGTGAAGCCAGGCAGAGATGCATGCATTGATTCAAACCCTTTCAGACAAGGGTTTTTCTGTGATGTTTTCTGAAGAGGTTGCAAAGCTGCATGCATAGCCTGTTAGTATTTTCTTATTTTTCTTATTGATATTAGTATTACTCGTTGTTCATCACTTGTATTGCAGAAGGTTCTGGAAGGGCCATGTGTAAACCTCCGCAGAAACATGAAGGAGAAGGATGTTTTGTAATGGCCAGCTTATAATATGACGTAAAAACCGATCCAGCAAATATGAGCAGTTCTCACCTAGGGAAAACGTTTTCCCAGAGGGAAGGACTGGGTAGTTCTAGCAGCACCCGCAGCAGCAATCACCTTAATTACCTTCTCAATTGGATGTTGTGCGTACAAGAGTCAGTCTGGCTCAGCACCTGTAGGTCAACATGACAAGGAAAAATACCCTACACTGCACCCACAGGAACAGCATAACCCCTTCAAGATGTTTCATCTGGCTGGTAGAATAACAGAAGGACTCTGGTGGCTTTAGGTCCTGCTCCCATTCACACAGGCTGGCAGAGGTTCCCTTGTGTGGTCCATGCCAAGCTGAGGCTGGTGCTCTGCAGTTGCTGCTCCCTCTCCGGCCCCTTTTCTCTGTACCACGGGCATACAACTGCTCAAGCAAAATGGCTCACCCCCAGCTTTTGAATGCTTGTCAGGTCTTTACAGCGAGAGAGAATTACGACCTGCCAGGTGGACCATAACACTGCTGGCTCATTGTTGTTCTGACTGTTAAGAAAGTATAGGGAGAGACAAAAACCATTATCCATGGATTCTTGTGTGCTGAGGCATAGTATTTTAGCACAGTAACTCATTCAGAGTACTAGGAAACACTCTATGGTGGCATGAACGAGGCTAACAAGAGGGTGCGGAGGTTAGACATGCCCTGCAAAGAGGAGTGCTGCTCAGAAATAAGACGCCGCACAAAATCTGGTGAGCCGAGCGCCATATGGGTTTATCTCACCCTTGCAGCTCTGGTTTATGTTTACAGAGAATATTTTAATTCCATCAATGCTTGTTTAGCAATGAGCATTTGCCCACGTGCTCAATGTAGGGCAGGCAGGTTATAAACCATGGTCTTCTGTAAGCAAATTAATAATGTTTTGCTCTGCAGCATCTCAGTAAATAGAGCTATGCAGCAAGCTTGCTCTTCTCAAACGCCCACTCGCTTTGAAACCTTAGAAGAGTCCAATTTTGCTGTTGAACAAAAATTTAAAAATGAAAACAGAGATTCTCATGTGTTCAGGGGCAGGGGCTTTGGGACTCAGAGTCACCCTGCCACTCACCCAAAGCTCTCTTGGCAACAGCTGGAGGGAGACAGACATTTCTGAGGGTAATTCAGCCCTTCTAGGTCAAGTTTATTGTCTTGGAAAGTCTTTTCTGAAACTATTGCAAGACATATATTCTACCTCAGGGATTAGAAACAAGACAAGGTGGTCTACAGCAAAATGCTGGCCATGTGATCTGAGACAGTTCAGCTCATGACGTCGTCCCTCAAGCCTTGCAGGAAAGTCTCTCCCTGTTCAGATGACTCAAAACCAGCCCCCTTGTTACTGCATGAACTATGTATATTCCCTGGATAAATATAAAGTTTCATTAGATGAAATCATTTTTCTGGAGAGTTTTTAAGAGCCTAAATAACAGAGACCTAATTAAAAATGTCTCCAAGGCCATATTTGTGACATTACACTCATCATGTTAAAAACTCCTGGATCAGTTCACAGTCTAAGAACTATATCTGCTAATGTAATGGCTACATTTCATCCCCTGCAGATTTTGCCTTCAGAAGTGGGCATGCAGATACACAAACTCTTGAGCTCCTGGAATTCTGTTCGTTTCTGACTGGTGGCAGCTGTTAAGTGCCCAGACACATCAGATTATCAATACCTTTCTTTTACAATATTTTCAAACCCAGAAGGTTCGTCAGGAGTGGTAGTGCTAAATTATCTGTATCTGCCTTCCTACTGCAGAGCAGATGTTGTCTCAAAAAAGGAGCCTGCTTTTGCATTTCAGCTATTGGGATTCATAGTTACAGTTTACCAGAGTGAATGGTCACAAACCTCCTTTAATTTTGTAGTGTTATAATGGGAGGTCTTTTGTTAAACAAGAAATCTGAGTTAAGAGAGCGGAATTCACAAAAAGTCATAAAGAAAGAAGATATTGACATCTGCCTAGAATAAATGTTTCTTTAAGGACCTCCTGTTTTCTACAGTCACTTTCTATATGGTTAGGGCCTGATCCATTTCTGTACAGCTAGGGCCTCTGGAGTCAGTGGAAAACCCCCCACTGATTTCACTGAGCATTATAACATACCCCAGCTGAATTAGAAAAATGACAATACTTTTTTGTGGGAAGGAATTGCTATGATACACGTGAATCTCAATTGCTAAAGAGAGGTGGTGTGATTCAAAGCCCTGCACACAACCTATGAAGTCAACAGCAATCTGTCTACTTCAAAAAGCTTTCAGAACCTCTCTGTCTCCCCTCTTGCACTGTCTTTAATAGCACAATCTTTAAACATCTTTCTTTCATCTTAACCAGAGGGCTCTGCAATTATTTGATGCTTGCAAGGAGGAAATTCACTCTGCAATGTATCACAAAGTAAAGTGATATCTACCAAGCCAATAACATATCTGTTCCTGGCTGCAGATGCTGAGTTGTTTGGAACACATGTACCATGATCTTGGGTTGGTAAAAGACTTCAACATCAATCCTATTACGTTAAAGAGGTGGTTGGTAAGTATTTCAAATTCCTGATATTTGCAATTTTTCAAATTCAACAATCAATAAACAAAACATTTAGTCATGGAATTAACTTGACTTACATAAGTAATCCCACTGAAAGTAGCCAATCTATACACATTCTTAAAATTTAAGTACTTCAGCAAATATTTGCATTCTTGTGGTAATAGATGATATTTTTTTAACTGGTATACATTTGTTTGCCGAGCTTTCTGTTACTGAAAGCAGCTCATTTCTGGTGAATGCTCTTGATACCTACTGTAAATGGAGATGAGTGTCTTCAGATACGGCCCAGAAAAAGCCAATATGTGTGATAATCATCAGATGTCCTAAATCACAGGGAGTAAAAGAACAAGGCAAGAAGGAAAAGGAACTGCTGAGAAGTTAAATAACTTTCTTTGCCTTGGTCTTTAATGTTGTGAATGTTGCAGAGATGCAAGACATGATAAAGTTGAGATCGTGGCAAACCAAGATGTCTAACAAAGAAATAATGGAGTGTTTAAAAAACAGTGTTATCAGCTCCAAAGGACAGCATAAGAAAGTATTTCCTAAAAAGATGAACAATATATCGGCTTTCTCAGAAAACCCCATCGTGTTCCTAGAGGACCATAGAGCAGTAAATATTTTACCCATTGTTTAAAAAGCATCTAGGGATACCCTGAAGAATTATGGTTAGTAAAACTTACATCTCTACCTGACAAATTGATTGAAACAACAATTAAAAACATTATGATGTGAAGTTCATTATACAGACGTTTCATATGATTCCTGTAATGAAGAATTAGATCTTACTAATCTCTTCTAATCACCTGAAGAGTGTGGACGGAGTAGAAGGAACTGTTTTAGACGATTGATGTAGACTCACCAAAAGGCCTGAACAAATTCCACAAATTCACAAGGTGGCCAGGAAACACAAAGCAAAACACTGGATTCATCACATCTTGTGGTGCTTAGGGACAAGGTTTAGTGGTGGGCTTGGTAGTGTTAGCATAATGGTTGGACTTGATGATCTTAAAGGTCTTTTCCAACCAAAACGATTTTATGAAGTAAAGCAAGAGCAAAAAGCACCTGGGCACCAGCATACACAGGGCAGTGACTGTCACTGCTTGGTGTGCTGCTGCCAGCTGAAACTGACAAGGCGTTAGGCTGATTAGAGACTGGAATAGGGAATAAAATGGACCAATGTTACCAGTGGTCTCTGTAGAAGGCATAGCCTGGAATTTATGCCTAGGGCTGGTTGAGTCTTTTTAGAAAAGTGTGACTACATTAAAGGAGATAGAAAAAATGATCGAGACCTAAGAAATCTGTCCCTGAAGAAGGCAAATGAAAAGCTCACTATTGTTGACCTTAGAAAGCAGCTGAACAGAAGGGGTGGGATGAAACCAAATACAATCAAGGCTAGCACAGAGTTGATCAAACAGAAAATTTCCTCCTCCTGTCTCACAGCCTGAAAACATGGGAAACAAGGTGATATGTCAACACACATCAACATTCCACCCACATGCATTACTACAGGCAGTTCCTGTTAGCTTGTATCTCCAAGTAATTTGTTACCACTAGCATTTAAGACAGCCTCATTCTGAACAAAGAAGCGAGTTTATTACGTATTTTCTACAAAAGTAAGGCAGGGTGAGATTTCCTTTCTTAAAACACTAGCTTCACAGAAAGAAAGCTGATTTTAAAAAGTCCCAAGGACTCTGCTTCAAACTATGATACTTCCCCAGGCACAGTATGGGCACCAGTTTGAACTTAAGTGGGAGAGAAAAAGCCATCTCATGCATATGCTTGTCTTCTTGCTCCCACATCCACTGGCAACAGAAATGTTCCAGAAAAGGGAGGAAAGGATGACTAATACAACCCAGTCACTCCAGCCCTTCGGTACTCTGAGTCAGGAGTCCCCCGGGATGCTGTGGGCTCCACTGCTGGATGTATACATTACATCCGTGCAGTGTTATAGAGTGCCTGGGCATGACCACGGTGTCCATGTGGAGGCTATGAGGTACTGCCCACCACCTGTGAGCCTGTCTGCCAACCGTATTGTGCCATTATTTATTCATTTTAATTTAATATAATATATTTCTAAAGTCCTTTCTGCAGAATCATCTGAACAGCTTTTGCAGTGAAGCCCCTAAATATTGAATAAGCCTTGAAAACCCACAGTTCTCTTGACCTCATCCAGAGCTTTGAGGCTTCCTAGAAGTCAGGTCCCAGGTTGAAGGGTTTGATCCTGATGGGGCTTGAGGACTTTTGAAGTAAATTCACTGCTTAGCTGGAGAAGGGGACATGAATTCTCTTCGTGTCATCAATTCAGGCTCAGTAATTGAAGCATGTGCATAAGGGCTCTCTAGGGTCCAGGCTACGGAGGGGTCAGCAGAGGAGTCCAGCAGTGCTGCTGATGCTTGGCTGTTTTGTGCAGGACAGGATACCGAAGGCTCTCCAGTGCACTGGAAGAATGGATGTGGCATGTGTTAACCCGGCTGTGGCAGCTTCACTCAGCTAGCCCGGCTGACAGTAGCGAGGACGCATGGAAAGGCAAGATTTAGCTTGTATTTGTAATAAGGGCACATAGCCAGGATCTGTAGAAAGTTAATAAACACAAAAATCAGCCCCATGTGCCTATATGGCTAAATCTCTCCCATGCTGCCTAGCACAGGAAATCCGCAGAGGTATGCTAGTGCCTATGCAGTCACATCTTCACTTTGCCAAGCAACACATCCCAAAGTGCCACCTCTGAGCTTTTGCAAATGAAATAACAACTACATTTCAGCCTTGAAGATTTCAAAGCTGCAATTTGCATTCAGCCAGAGAGAAGAAGAGGATGTACTTTGAGCTCTTTACACACCCCAAAGTCACCATTTAACCACTGCACGGTTTGAAATACAAATTCAGGATGATAGCACAGAGTTCTGTCTCAAGACCGAGATGCACTTGGCAGCTGTGCTGAGATGTTTACTCATTGCTAGCTGGTATGAGAGAGAAGTTGCTAGGAGCTTTACCTGCTGGCAAATCCTCGAAAGGCAGTAATCTCTCACCTTTCCCCAGGAAGGCAGAGTGTCAGAGGGGGCTGTGCTGTCACTCTGTCCTAGCAGAAAATAATACTGGTCTTGATAGGACTCCTGTAGGGATACACAGTGCTTCCAGGGAGGTTAGGAAGCGTATGTAATCATGTTTTTATAAAAAAAGAGCTCTTCTGTCTCTGACTGCTTCATTCCCCCTCTCTGCAGCTGTGTATTCACGACAATTACAGAAACAACCCCTTTCATAATTTCCGACACTGCTTCTGCGTGACCCAGATGATGTACAGCATGATCTCGCTCTGCAGCCTCCAGGTATGCCCCCACCTCAATAGTATCACTCCATTTCCATCATGGGGCACGTGTTCGTCCACTGAGCACCACAACACCTGTGCCATCTTTTCTTGCAAAACAGGCCACCAGCTTGCTAACAAGTGATAAGCTTTGCGCTAGCTGCACTTGTTCAGTCCCTGGGGAGAGGAGGAGAGGTGTTGCATTTCCACCTCTGGCTGCCTGCTCAGCCACCCCATCCCAGACCCCAAGAACCTACACAGCTTTCTGAGGCTGCTAGGAAGCTACTTTCACCCCCTGCATATCCCAATTTTGTACACTGAAGGCCTTTTGACACTCTGATAGCATGAAACATCAGATCCAAAAGCCTACTGAATTATAGTCTGCGGATATGGTCTTCATCTGTGACACAAAAAGTTCCCACAAGATGTTTTCTCCAAGTGTGTGCTTGCACCTGGGTGAGCTACTGCAAATAATGCCTTGCATGTACCGTATGCAAGATTCATATTCAACCTGTACTTTGTCCAAAACTGTAGGCATCATTTCAGTTCATTGACTAGATAACCTGTATTTGTATATTAATTTTGTTTCTGTACAAACTAATTCTACTCAGTTAAAAAACCCCTTTCTTCTCCATAGTTAAACACACCAGTTACTGGCCTAAGTCTGTTTTCTTGCCAATAAGAGTACGAAGAAAAACTTGCTTTAATGGAAGTTCATCTTATCCAGAAGCTGTGGGAATGCAACACTTATTTAATTTTTCTCATTCTTTTTATAACTTTAGTTAGTGCAGAATGCAATGGCAAGTAAGCTGCCTGCCATCGCTTCCTTAACTAATCAGGGTGCTCAAATGACTTGTAAGGGACTGTATTAATATCTCAGTGCTTTTGTATGATCTCTGCGTAATAGTAAGTTTCAAGCAAATTGCCTCCTCTGAGCTGCTGTTCTTTAATGCAACAAAGGCAAATCTGAGTCATTTTTACTGGAAGGGAAGGCAGAACTCTCTTTCTTGACTTAAGTAAATGGTTCTGCGGAAAAATACTTCATTTTGCTCGGATTTGCTTTTCTCTAAAAAGTAAATGTGGGTGGTTTTTTCACTGCTTTTCATTTATGGGAATAGGGGAAGTAGAAAACATAATACTACATTACTGTTTTGTATTTTACAGGAGAAATTTTCCCAAATTGACATCTTGATTCTCATGACTGCAGCAGTATGCCATGACTTGGACCATCCGGGCTACAACAATACGTAAGTCTGTCTCTTGCTTTGTCTTCCCTTAAAATTTATTGGGAAGGTAATACCAGCTGGCATTTTTTGTAGATCAGGTTTTCCTGCTCACAGCTTGAGCTGGCCACAACCTTCCCCAAGGCCCTGCTGTTCACTCACACATGGGCCAAGGCAGAGCCTCATGCAGAAAACTCAGGTCTGGGTTGGGGCTGCCAGCTGTCCTTGGCTCTGCAAGCACAATGATTTTTCAGGTTTCTGTTCCAACACTTTCCCCCACTCCTGAGAAAACAAGGTAAAATATTTTACAGCTGAGATAGGGCATAAATGATTATAGCTCCATTGACTGAAATGGAATAATTACACTAAAATGCAAAGGGTGATTTAACTCACACATTATTTCACAATTAGAAATCATGAAATGCATATTCTGTTTATTATCATGTGAGGAAATTAGAACTGTTGACCCATGGACACTTTTGTGTGCATCTATGTGTGTGTGAAAAAGAGAGATAATCTAATTTATTTGTAGCCATTCATTAAATTATGCCTGGGATCAGTGAGAATCTCTCCACTGACGCTAGTAGGGGGTTGAATGAATCACAGACTCACAGACTCACAGAATGGTAGGGTTTGGAAGAGATGTCTGGAGATCACCTAGTCCAACCCCCCATGAAGCCCAGACAGTTCCTTCTGTGTTTGTTCTACGTCATTTTAAGCTACATAGACTTGGTAAAATTTAAAAAAAAAACAATAAATAAACTCTACAGGGGAAAAGTGCCTGAGATGATATTAAAGTAATATCTATCTTCTCTAAAAGTCTGATTTAGTATTAACAATCAAAAGACAAACTGCAGCTAACTGAATAAGTATTGAAAAGAATGTAAATAAAAGAAAGCAGCATGGTTTAGAGCAGCTGGTGTGTGTCTGCAGGAGTTCTCATTGTTTTTCTTCACATCAGCTATCAGATAAACGCACGAACTGAGCTTGCGGTACGCTACAATGACATCTCCCCGCTGGAAAACCACCACTGTGCTGTGGCTTTCCAGATTATTTCCCAGCCAGAATACAACATTTTCTCCAATGTCGACCAGGACCAATTCAAACAGATAAGACAGGTATGAATGCTGTTCCCATCTGTGTCATACAAACTGTTCCCAAAGATGTAAGCACACACAGACTTCCCTGTTGTACAAAGCAAGTGAATCATTCCCCTAGAGGACAGAACTGAAAAAGCCCCTCACACTGGAAGGATCCAAGAGGGATTCTTGGAAAATTTCCACAGCAGCACTCCCTGGAATGTCTTGCTGAGAAATAATGAGAACATCCTGACTATTAAAGCTGATGACATTTTGGGGGTAGATATTTATATTATTGAAGGAGCAATTAGCTCTGACTGGGAAAGGATTAACTCTCAGGGCAGAAGTTTATGCTTTAAGAGAACATTGTATCAATTTTAAGAGGGGCTTCAAAAGGGGAACAGATTTACAACAGCAGAGCACTTGTACTGTTGGAAGAGGCTCTGGCGGACTGGGAGTCATCACAGTTATCTCTGAGACAGTGAACAATGCTACAATTCCCATCAGAGCACTAAGGGCCAAAATTTGGTTTTAGTTTCCACGTTACACCTTCCTCACACACCAAATGGAAAAGCAGACCAATGTAAGCGCTCGGTCTGGTTGGAGTTACTGATTCTGCCAGTGCATGGGAAGCAGGCATGGGCCCAAAATGGATTGATCTGTTTGAAAACCCACAACTTTAAATTAACCACATGTTTTCCCATCATAAACTCTGCCTAGCAGGAGGATACAGAGCTTCTAACACATTGACTGCCTCTGAGTATTTCAAAGCCCTTAATCCAAGGAGGATAAGCACAGAGGACATTCACATCTACTGATCTTTGTCTCTTCTTAGGGCCACTAAGAGTCGGCAGCAAAAGCAATAGTGCTTTCCAAGGAGCCAGAAGTGGATCCTGGCAAACAGAGTGTGGCTTTTATCATCCTGCTGTAGTTTGTTTTTCCACAACTAGTTAATCAGAAAGGAAAAACCTCAATGCCCCTGGAATACCACACCAGCGTTACAGATTGATCCAACTGTGCTCTTCGTGTACCATGAACTCTTTATAACCCTCTTCCAGTTTGCTTGGCTGTTTCAAGTCAGAAACTTCCCCTTTCAGTGTTAACAATGTAATGCATCTGAGGCTTTTTGCATGTAAAAAAAGATCCTACTTTGCTCTGCAATAGTAGACTTTGTAAAGAATGTCAAGTTAATATGTGAACATGTTTTCTTTGCTAGGGCATAATTACGTTAATCCTGGCTACAGACATGGCGAGACATGCAGAAATACTGGACTCTTTTAAGGAAAAAATGGAAAATTTTGATTACTCAAATGAAGAACACATGACCTGTGTAAGGACATTTTGTAGGTTATTATTTTTCTGTGCATAGTGTGAAAGCTTGTAGATTAACATTCGTTTGCTTAAAAACCGAGATTCAATACACACTACCAAAACCAAGTCCTTTCTACATCCTCTGCCCCACCAAAAAGAATTAAAATTTTGAAGTACTTTATATAAAATAGATTATTCCAGCTTTAGAAACCCTGGAGTCCCACGGAGAAAAAAAAAAAAAAAAAGTACTGTCAGGATACAAATTCTTATTGTCCATTACTATGGGGCAAGAAGTATCCACAAGAGTACAAACTCTAGTCTCCTCTACTTCCTAATCCAGTCTTCTTTGACGTCCAGGGAAGCTCTCCCCAGCTGCCTCTGGGTGTTTCACAAACAACTTCATGGTCATTTGTGGCTGAATCTCTTCACGCAGCAGATAAGTGCACATCCCACTGTGACACATCCCTGTGCTACAGACAGGGAAACCGAAGCAGAAAGGGGATAAGTGATTTACACAGGGTAACTGAGAGAGTGGAAAAGAATCCAGATCATTTAAGACCTCTGATTTAATCCTAAAACTGTCCTTTCTGTCTGAAAACATTCCCTCCCACTGCATTGTAAAGACACAGGTTCTGGAGAGAGGAAAAAGGGCTGGCAATATGACTGCAGTATTGAAGTATTATCTTCTTTCAGCTGAAGATGGTACTGATAAAATGCTGTGATATCTCCAATGAAGTCCGCCCGATGGAAGTAGCTGAGCCCTGGGTAGATTGCTTACTAGAGGAATATTTTATGCAGGTAAGAATGAGGGAGAGATGCAATTGCAGAAATTGCTTCTTTTCCTGAATCCCACCTCAGCTACAGGGGCTCCATTGTCTGACAGCCCAGTCTAGCTCTAGGATGGAAAGGCTTCTTTTGCAGAAAGTCAGAGAAGGATGTCAGCGAGAGAAGCTGTTCAGAAAGCAAGTGAATGCAATTGACTGCAATTTGCAGACGAAAGACAATAGCAACCTGGAAACCCTAATGCTAGTAGACTGAAGGCTGTTCTCTGAAAAGCATCTGCCTTGCAAGTTCATTTGACATATAAAAGATTTTTGAGCCAAAAGGGCAAGAGCAGTGGCAAGAGAAAGTTGTCAAGGAAATCATAGCAAATACCACGTGGGAACTAGTTTAGATAATTTTCACTGCATGTGAACGTTCCCCTAAAAAGAAAGCAGAAGACTTGTTGCGGTGCACAAAGTCAGACTTTAAGCTCCACAAACCATTGCTCCTCCCTGTATTCCCAGCTGAATAGAGCTTCTGATTGCTGAAAGAACGATCTCTGGAAGAGCAGCCCTCAGCTGCCTCTGGTGCAGCGTGTACGGGCTGAAGCAGTGGGATCTTGAGAGACACACAGCTGCAGTGCTCTGAGAAGGAGATGCCAGAGCTTCTTGTGTGTTTTGTCTCTAATTTGATAGGGTGCATACTGAGGAGGGCTTCTCACAAGAGACAGACACCTCGGATGACGTGTCAGAAACACTCCTTGCTCACCACATCTGCAGCTTTTTACTCAAAATTACAGTATCTGTGTGCCTTGCTGTTTTAGTCACCTGGCAAAAGCACTATGGGCTGAAAGACACAATAAGTGAGAGATAACGTCCGCTACAGGATACCCTTTTTGCACACACAGTCTGTGCACAGTCTCCTTGCACATGAGCCCACATAGAAACAGTGAGTTACGTGGTCAAGTAAGTAGCTTGGTAAACTCATTGCAGTCAATGGAATTGTTCTCCATTGACTCAGCTAGCCAGAACTAGCTTTAATCATTGGAAAAGAAGGATATATAATTTCTGGTTGAATACCTGAGAATAATCACTCTCTGGAGAACGATGAGGAAATCAAAGACCTATTCCCTTTCTCTAGAGAGGCAAAAGCCATTACGACCTTTCTGAATGCTCAGAAATATTTTACCTCACAAGTCCCATGGATTTACAAAGGGAACCAGGGGGCCTCATTGTCCTGTAAGCCTGGAGGTGAATGCTTTCAGGCCAGTACTGTGCAGATGTAACTGAACAGAGTTCTCTTTATTCGGATGCTTGCCCTCAACAAATCAGGATACATTGGCCCGAGGGAAGCATATTGCTATTCCATGCTATCTTCAGACACCACTGAGATCTGTAGCTGAGGGCTACTGCTCTTTAGCTAGTGATATACTTGGAACATTACTTTCCTCACGGGCTTCTAGCTGAGATTAATATTTGGGTTTGTTCCAGAGTGACCGAGAAAAATCTGAGGGGCTTCCAGTGGCACCATTCATGGACCGTGACAAAGTGACCAAGCCAACAGCACAAATAGGCTTCCTGAAGTTTGTTCTCATCCCCATGTTCGAAACAGTGACAAAGGTAAGTCAGCCAAGGCCAGAAGCAGAAGTGGGGGTGTGCAGAGCTTCAGCGTTTGCTCCGACAGGTGTTCAGTTAGCCGGGGAAATGGGGATGTGCAGTTCACACCCTGCCTTTCACCCCATTTCTAGCACTAATGAATCTAATGAATACAAAAGCAAACGATGATTCTTTTTATCATTTTCACCTAGCTATTCCCGGAAGTGGAGGAGATGATGCTCCAGCCCCTTTGGGAATCCAGGGACCACTATGAGGAATTAAAACAGATAGATGATGCTATGAAAGAGGTAAGTTCTAAATATCTCTTTGATAAAGAAAACATTATGATTGAATAAGTCAAACATCATAATTTAATAGCAGCTTAATTCCAAAACAGTGGGAATGCTGATGGCATAATCACCATCATGAGAAACACATCCATTATACCTGGCTGGAGAGAGGCGGTAACACAAGCAGTAAGCGTGCACAAGAGCATGCCTTTGAAGAGTCCACCAGGCACCACACAAGCACGGCCGTGGGAAGGGAGCTGCTTACAAGAGCAGGACCTGGAGACAAAACCCAGAAATAACTGCCTGAGGGGAGCATGTTAGCAAACACCTCTTCCTGGAGGGAGCTACCTTCCCCTGGGAAGGAGTTAGCCTGGGCTGGATTGCAGCAAAATGTCCTGGGGTTGGGCAGTTCAAGGCACTGCACCACCAAGGCAGAAGTTTATTTTCTGGGAAGAAACTTCCACTCACGTGTCTATCATCAAGGATGTGCTTGAAATTTTATGAGGAATTACTCTCATAGACAGCACCCAGTAGAATTAAACACACAACAAACGAAGACATTTTATGGCCCAGGCTGACTGGGGACCTCCATTTACAGAGTGCCTCCCATTTTGACATGCGAGGCTTAGGGGAGGTAGGATGTACATGTAACCACGTTTGCTCTCTCTGGCCACGTCCACCTTGCCTGACAGGGCAGAGGCCAAGGCCAGGCCCTGGGAGCAGGTGCCCCACACCCGCAAGTGCAGCAGCCGGCGTGCTGGCCCGGCTCCCGCAGTGCCCTGTGACACTGGGCCTGCACGCCTTCCTTGCACGCCTCTTGGAGTGCTGCTTTTCCCTGCCGAGGCAGATGACAAAACCAGCCCAGATGGCATCAGAGTCTAGGGCTTTTCTGACATGAACAAGTTTATCATGTAGACAGGAGACTATCAGTCACTCTGACATTAAAATAAATTGGGAAGCGCCCTGGAGCGCTAGTTGTGCTGATATTGTTTGATTTGTGGGAAATGAAGGTTCATTCACTTGATCATCTTTGGCTGGATGAGGGGAATAGCAGCTTTCTGGTGTAGCTCCCACCTCCTCCCAAGTGCTTCGGAGGAAAAGCCCCCCAGCAGCACAAATACTAAGGCTGGTTAATCAAAGGGCACATGCTTTGAGCACACTAAGTTATAAAGGAGAAGAAAATCTTTTAGACATTCTTCAGTTTAGGGAGGAGCATTTCTCAAAGGAGGGCAGAACAACTCAGATACGACTGCCAGACTTTGAGTCCTATTCATCTTTCAAGTTGAGCCAAGCTTTTACTTCTGGTTTACAGAAGCTGTCACAACAGAAATTTTATACAAATTGATGGAGCTTTAATTATGGTACATTGGCACAAGAGGTCTTAGGAAAATAGGAGCTGCCTGAATTCAGAAATATCCTGAAACAAGAGGAGTTAGATAATAATCTAAGAGCCTAGCACAGCAGATGATGAGAAAGACTGAGTGCTGTTTACTGAGGACATACATCCAGAGCTGTTTGGATGAAAAGTTGCCTGTCATATACCAAGTTGCTGCCTGTTATTTCCCAAGAAATGTTGCACATGCCTTGTGCAGAGATGAGCATTTGACTCACAGCAGCGATGAAAAGTGGCACTGTGTGAGTCAGGGGTATTAATCCTGCTTTGCTCTTCATTTCAGTTGCAGAAAAAGAAAAGTGAAAGTTTGACCACCGGCAATACTGAAAAGTGAGACGAAAAAGTCTTTGAGCAAAACATAAGCCCTAAGGTTATTCTGGTTTTGAGAAATGCTGTATTTGCCAAACAGACTTGGTGGCTGCGTCAAAATCCAACAGGGACCAGGTACGCGGAGAGGTGACAGGCACGGATGCCCTGCCTGCCCGTCTGCCTGCCCGAGAGCCCTGTCTACAGCCTGCTCGTACAGGCACTGCTGCCGTCGGGCACCAAGGGCTCCCCGCGCTCCGCAGCCCCCCCAGCAGGACTTCCCCTGCGGACATTGCACAGGCTGCAGCACGGCTCAAATCTTCAGCAGATTTGCCTTTTTGGTGACCACACGGACCACAGTCTGTAGAGACAAAGTGGAGTTTAGCTAAGGAGCCTTTTCTGGAAAATGATCCACTAGCATCCAAAAACAAAAGAAAAAGTTGTTTTAGTCAAGACACTATATATATGTGTACAGCAGTATGCTAATTACAGCATAGCTTAACAGACGCTTATATTCTGACAGGGGTCCTGGCATATATTTTTGTTTGCCTAGTAGGCCCTGACGACACATTTCTCTGTATTGTTCTCTGAATTTTATAGTGTTCACAGCACATTCAGAAGCCCAGCATAGTGGATGCAATTGTTTTTGTTTTCTACACTAGAAGAAATCAGAAGAAACCTTAGTGAATTTGCAGGTTCGCTTTGTGGGCTGGTACAGCTAGAGATGATGGGATCCTTCACCACGAGCAAAGAAGGGAGCACAAAGCTGAAACCACTGTGCAAGCATATTTTCATCCTCGTGGATGCAAAAAGCAACAACAAGATAAACCTTTGAAGATGAACAGATTTTTTTTTTTTACTTTTAAACTGATCTGCTAAATAATATATTCTTCTACAGAAATGGGTGTTGTACTTGTTTTCTTTTGCATATGCATTCACATGAGAACTGTCTCTGTTCCTAAAGACAAATGCTTTTATAACGAGTGCAAGGTAAGGGACTGTAAAGGAGAGGGGAGGGTCGGTTCTCCTGAAGAGGAGAAGCTTTAGAAACATTTTTTGTGGTATACTTGCATCGTAAGTGTAATATCGAAAGAGCTTCGCTTCCCTTGATAATTTTGTAAAGTCTGGGAGCCAAGCTCTGCCCGGAGTTGCAGTCGTGCAAACAGACAGTAGGCAGTACTGTGATTGACTCCTGCACACCGCCTTGACAAAGCGGAGGCTGGAAGAAATCCCCCTTCCTCGTGCCCACGACAGGTGAGCCACGGCCACGCTGCTCACCCGCTCCTGGTTTCTCCCGCTGTGGAAAGGTCGCCCTCCCTGGGGGGTTTCAGCGGACAGGATCAGCTCCTGTCACGGCATGACAGCGGCATCCCCCGCACTGGCAGCCGCAGGCATGCAGCCAGCGAAGCACCGTGCGTGTTGCTCCGGTCCTCCTTGGCTCAGTTCTCGAGGCTGCCTCATCAAGTTTGCTAGGTGTGTTAGCAGTAAGGGTAACACTCGGGCTGTGCCTCTGCAAAGTCCGAAGGCAATGCATTGTCTTAACTTGCTTTTCAGAAAGAGATGAGGAGGTGGGGGCCAATCTTTCCCCCCATGACCCAGGAAACACCTTAGGAAACTGGTAAAGGGTCTGATCCCTGGATTTGAACAGTCCTGGGGGACCTCAAGGGAGATGGGAAGATCAAAGCAAAGGGTCAGCTCCATGCTACACAGACATCTCCATGAATGGAAGAACTAAACCCTAGTTTTGACTAGCCTTAAAGTTTTGGTGCTTGAAAGTTGGATCTGAATGATGAGGTTTGGGCCTTTTTTCTGTACTACATCTTACAATCCAAAGTACATCGTGACCCAGATTGTTCTGCTGTGGACTTCTTTTTCACAAGTAAATCAGTTTAAATCAAGTTTACCATTTCCACTCAAGTGGAATTCCCTCAAGAATCAGCTCCTAAAGCAGATGTGCCGTGCAGGAGCTGTAAACAATTGTCTAGGATATACTAGGTCCTTCATTGAGCTAGTTCATTAGATGAGAAAACCTGCTGTAGGAACTTGACTGCATCTTCCTCCCACTAAAACTGTTTAAGAGTTAGATCCTGATAGGAAGTTTTGTTTCAGTTGGAGGGATCTTCTCTAAGCATAAACCCTAATCCAACAAGTGTTTATATGTGTGCTTAACTCCCACAAGCCTAGTCATGGACTCTGGCATGCAGTAGCTAATTGCATAGTGCAGGCTCCTTAGATTTCTCTAATTGAAGTGCATGGGAGTTTGAGAACTGGTTGCCCTTGGTGCTTGTTTTGGCTCCATCATTTTTAAGAGCAACCTGAAAACTGTTTACCCGAGAGAGGTGATCAGAAAAGGTTGGTGAAATCCTGCTGACTTTACTGGAGCTGCGTCAGAAACGTGGAGAAGGGAACGCAGCCCTTCCTCAGGGCTGCACTAGATGCTATAATGCACTGTGTGGCTTATTGAAGGAACAGGCAACATCCAGGCTGCTAGTCATTGACAGCTGTAAAAAAGACCACATGCAATCACAACCATCTATTGGTATAAATAGGAATACCACAGCATTTTTAAGATCATTTGCCTTTGTAATACTAGATTTCTAAAGGCAATCTTCCCAACATATGTTTAACCAAAGGGAATGCAAGGCATTCTCTCATAATTCTAGTTTCTTATACTTTTTCCATAATATTTCATGCTGTGATTCATATGCAAATTAACAGTTTTGAGAATCCTGCCAATCAGGCCATTAAACATCACACATTTTCAAGGTGACATTTTAAAACTACACTGAGCATGAAAATGAAGTTTCTTGAGGCAGCCAGACAGACGTCTCAGGTGTGATTTAATCTTCTCTCTCCCTAATCCAATGAATAAGAGTGAATATTAGATCTCAGTGTTCTTGTTTCAGCTTAAGGTAGGTGCCTTACAAAGAGCTCTATATGATCTGTTGCATGCGTCTTCTCGGCATCAGGACAGTGCCACATGCATCCCAGCCTTACATTGCTACTCCTGTACTTGTGATATAAGTTTACAACTGTTCCACGCTGTGTAGCTATGAAAACTAATGATGAGCCCTGGAATTCTAATTCTTAATTTTTTTAAATTACGAGATCCCACAGCCCCATACTCGCTTCATTTTTTAGTACGGCTTTCATAATCGGATCAAACTAAGGCTATAGTATAACTGCATGTCTTGGGAAGGAACCAGCTTTTTTAAAATGTGAATACCCCCACAGCAGCCAATTTGCAATGAAAATTTAGTGTGTGTTAAATACACGGGTTAGGTAATGCCAAAGAAGTATCTGTACACGGAAATTGTTAATCTCAGTGCTGCCTCTGAGCAGCAATAATAACAGCATCTGTTCCATATGGGAGCAAAGCAGAGTGCTGGTATGGAGTATGAGCCCATCAGGAAAAGCGCTGTCAAGCTGTATTCAATTTTCCTGTTGGAACAGTGGGCTTTCACTGCAAACTGCCCCCCTCTCTCTGGAAACAGCTGAAGAATGAGCCTTACCTTTGTACTTGGTTTGTAGCATTAAGAGCAACACACTTCTTTTTATCCTCCTGTCATATTGTTCTGTTGTGAAAGTTTCTGTGAGAAAGCAGACACAGTGGGGCAAATCACCTACCCTACTAATGCAAAATCTCCCCGTATTTATCTCTTCCCCACACTATCCTCTCCTCGATTTCCCTGTGGCAAGGCAGGGTGTAAAACACAGCAATGTGCCTGTTAGTGACAAGGAGCACTTCAGCCCCAGCCTGCGGGAAGGATGTATGTGAAAGGACAGCCTGACGTAGGGCCATCCAGCTGCTGCTCTGACTCCCAATGTAAAAAAATTACTTTTCAAGGGGTTGCTCTGGAATGAGGCACATCCCAGCTCCAGATTGTGGTCCAGAGGACACAAGGCAGGTCCTGCTCTCCTGAGCCACCCTTCTGTATGCCCAGCCCTCTCCCATGCAGCACACTTGCGGTTATGATTGTTCAGTGCCAGCAAAGTGAAGCAAAGGCTTTCTGAAGTGTGTTTTAAACAGCTTGGATGCTGCTTTTCTAGGCAACATGGCAGTGCAGTGGGCTATTTCTCCTTTCTCTCTGCTCTCCAGGGGAATGCCTAGGCAGAGGTAAAGTTTGTACTCTGAAAAACTGGCACATTGGAGTCCTGGTCTGTGTGTGAGTGCTATGACAGCACAAGAAACCGGTAATAATAATAACTACTAAACAATAAACCTAGATCTGCCGCTGGCTTCAAATACCCTCTAGAGCAAGTCACCAAGCCAGGGCTTCCCTCTCCTTTCGAACAGGGAGACCCACCTCTGTAAAGTGTGTTGTGGTATTCGGATGCAAGAACCAACAGTTACCATTTTCAGAAAGTATGACTTCATAGAAACTTCTGGCCAAAAAACTTATTAGATGTCTTCATAAATGAAGAAGCTGTTGCCAGCAAGTCAAACATCTCTTTCTTTGTGATCACGTTGTAATACATCTGCCTCTTTGCTAGTGAGAAGTATGACTTCTCACTATCTCACATACACAAAAAAAGCTTTCTGACTATTTTGGCATGTAATCAGGAACTACAGGTGTACTCAGGCACGTGCACACACACACAAAATGGCTATCTGTAGACATTTTTGCAATATCGCTCTTAGTTCTGTTGCAAGATAAACTTAGAACCAGGAGGGTTTGGAAAGTGCAAACCAGTCTTGTCACAGCCAATGTTTGCTATAATGTCTCTGAGGAAAAACATCTCTGTTTTCCAAACTGTGTGGAAGCACACTTGCTGCCTGGCTGACGAACCCAGCAGATCCTCTGCCCTAAAGGAAGCTCCAAGGTGACAGGGACTTGGAGCAGCTCTATTTCTTTCTAAACAAAAAGAGCTTGCTGTCAGCCTGCTGATGGTGTTCTGGGCTCAGGACAGCTGGGACACACTCCAGGCTGAAAAAGGCAACAAGAAAATCAACACAAAACCATATAAACCCTCCTCAAATCCGTGTGCCCAAGCCACACCTTCTAGCATGCCCAGTTAATAGCTCCC